GTTAAGTTTTGAGACCAAGTTTTTTTTTAGGAGCCTTAAACTTTGTTCTCTTAAAGTGTTTTCAGTGGGCTATTTATTGATACTTTCTAAGCAAAATTCCTGGTAACTTTAAAGTGAAGATGTGAAACTAACGCGTGACAGTTTCCTTCTCTTTTACAAAGAATGTAAAAAAAAAAGGTAACCTTTCAAACATGCAGCATTAACATAAGTGAGGCAGACAGAAAGACAGACAGACCGATTTTGGTGGTATATGGCTGAGACTAACCTGACAAATACACAGTTTAACCATAAAAAAGAGATCAGATTTGAACTCTAATATTCTGATGAATAAGGACTAAAATTAGATTCTGCTGTCAAATATCTGTCAACTGTATGTAAACATGCAAATTATTTTTCCTGTTTTTTTTTTTGTGTGTTCCTTAAATTATCTTGTGTTAAAACAATGTGTTAAAGTGATAAAGCATGAGGTGAGAGTCAAACTCAAAACAAAAACCAAAAGAAAAATGTTAGTGTGAATAGTCCCTTTGCACCTTTTAAATATGTGTTGAGAGTGTGTGAATGTGTCAGATAAGATGCTTCAGTTCTCTGAAACCAGATAAGAATGATCACGTGACTTGTGTGGTCTGACTGCTGTCGGGTTGGTGTGTGAAGCTGCACTGTAGTAGATGACCAGTCGTTTGTAGTCTTATATTAGTTATATTACACACAATAAACATTTTAGAATGTATTTCTGTTACGGCAGACGTTGAGAATGGATTAAATGTAGGACATTAATTTAAGTGTTGTGTTTTTCCCCACTTCCTGTAAATATTCACACACTCTGTAAATATGAATTGTAATAATTCTTGTGTTGTCTTCCTTATAATCTTGTGTGGCTCCATGTGACCTTTATTAAAATTTGACTCTTGCAGACAAAACAAGTCTGAAACTTTGAGATTGTCCTTCATTTCCTTGCCCTGCATTAAGTTGCTGAAAATATGACTTGAGAAGCTTTTTTTAGTTCATGCAAGCAACGAAGACATAAAAGACTGCAGCCAAACTTCTATGTATCATTGTCTGCACGGAAAGAAATGATCACCACACATCCTTTGTCTGATTTCACACCCCTCCATTACATACTGCTCAAGACACAGCTTTTAATTCTTTGTCATCGACTTTTTTGTGCATTACTTAAGGATGTTAAGAAAATAATTTTTGGACATTAATTTTGCTTTTGGGAGATTTTTAAAATGTTGCATATTTGACTGAATGCATTACTCTGTTTAATTTGCTTGCTTGCTTCTGACCAAACAAGTACAGAAGAAAACAACAGAGACAAAAAAAAAGCGGAAGCTTTCAATGGTGGGTTTTAAGAATACACCGGGGTCTAACCACAGTTTCCTCACACAGAAGCAACTATAAACATCTACAGCACACTCACATGGACATACACCCACCATCAGTCTAAGATGGCAGAAAATCTAAATTTTATGGGTCAAGTCAAGTCAAACTTCATTCATACAGCACATTTAAAAGCAACAGCAGTTGACCAAAGTGCTAAACAGTCACAAAATATCAAAACAGATGAATACAGACGCAAACAACAATAACAACATCAGAAACCAAAAAAGGTTTTACTGAACAAACTACAGTTCAACAGAGGCTGAGGCACAAAAGCTTAATCATGGTTATGATGCAGGACCGTTGCTGTATGCCATACCCTTACTTCCTCTCTGTATCTCTGATGCAACCTTTCTAATGGGCATCGTGCAAAGTGCCAAAAACATCACAAAAACCAAACAAGAGAACGCAGCACAGAAATGCTCAATATAGGTTTATGGCTAATTTTGTCTACTCTTTGTACTCCATAGAAAACTACAAAAAAAAAATCAAATTGTAAAATGTCTCCACTCAGTAGGCCTACACATCTTGTGCATAATTATTTGCTAACCAAATCCAAGGGATCTTTATCAAAAAATGTTAATGTTATTGACTAATATATTTCACACTCAAATATTTATGTTGATATTGAAATCTGGTATTGGTTGGGCTGTAGCTAATACAATTTGTGATTTATCAACAGACAGTAATCACATGTCTCTTCTAATACAGAAAAGAAATCCAGTTTATGAGATAAACATGTAAAGTCAAATACAATCCAACACAACAGACCTACAACAGCCCTCTTAGGGCATTGGAGATGGCTTATGGAAGTAAACTGAACATTCAGTTAATATGCAACAGCTCTGGTGGACATCCCCACAGTCATCATGCCAGTGGCATGCTTCCTCAAAATCTGCATCATATGTGGCATTGTGTTGTGTGTTCGAACTGCACATTTTAGAGCGGGGTTTTACTGTAACCATTCCCAGACACACCTGTGTACTAATGGTGGTGGTTAATCATCGTTTTTATATGCTACTCCTGTCAAGTGGACAGAATATCTTGCAAAGGAGAAGGGCTCACTAACATGGATTTCAACAAATTCGTGACGAAAACTTCTAGTGTTGTTTCACTGGACTGCATCTAATAGTTTATCTACTTCATGTACAAAAACCCCATTAGAATTAAATCTGAATCTAGTCTATGTTAAACTTGACAGGGCTTGTATTGTATTGGGCTGCATTAAACTGTAGGTAAAATAAATAAATCAACTATGTTAGAAAAATAAAGGTCCTGCATGAGTCTGCATTTAATAAATAAAAAATAAATAAAGCAGCACAAAACTCTGCAAATCAGAAACATCACACACTCTTAGCCTTTTAAATCTTAATATCAGACTGATCTTACCTGATTTAATCATGCTAACTGTCAGATTGACTACTGGTAGCTTAAGTTTTCACACAGAGAGGAATGAGGCAACGGTAAAATGAAAACACCCATCGTAGCGTTTATTGTCTTCCACACAGACATCATGAGACAAGGGTTGCAGCGATATACTGGTTTTGAGGTATACCATGATATAAAAGTTTACGGGTATCACACTATGTACATTTGCTTATCTACGATATTGGGGAAAAAACCCACAACTGGACGGAGAATCTCCCCTTAATGTTTGTTATTTTCAAAGATGAGACTTTCTACTCATACTTCTGTAAACAAAATGGTTTCAAGTTTCAGTTATAGTCATAGAACGTTTGTTTGACCAGAAATAACCCTTTCATTTCATTTCTTCAAGGATCATTCTCGCTGATAATAATATAAATTCTGTAATACCGTGATACTGTGAGACCTTGATATTTTCCATAAAATACCATAAAAATACCTTTGCAACCCTACATGAGACACACCAACAGCATCATACACTAATTCTTCTTATTCTTTTTGTGTCGTTTCATGGCGGTTGGTATTCATATGTATACCACCACCTACTGGATTTTATCAGACTCGCAGTGCAAATTATACACGGTGTTCACCAAAGGTAATCCCTTTCCAGTCTTTCTCCGCTCTTTAACCCAGACTCAATTATCTGAGCTGGTGCAGATCCCTTTCCAAGTGTATTGTCTATGTCCTCACCAGAAATGTCCATGATCTTTAAAAATCTCCTGGCTGCACCCAGCACCATCTTCATCTGTTCAGATTTTCCTTGAATTTTGACCGCACAATAAACAACCATGGCAATGAATGCCAAAAACCCCTTCTTTTCCAAACAAATGTTCTGCTCTGATTCACTTCCTCTCTGCTCTGGCTCGGCTGCCTCGTGGAATGACTGGACCTGCTTGGGTTATTCTTCCCTTTTCTTTTTCATTACTAAACTCGTATCCTCAGTTTGAAGTTCACCTCTGCAATTCCTGCTCCAACTCCATTTTATCTCTCATCCTGCCAAATCATATTACGCTAAGAGCAACTAGCAGTCCTACATACCTGCCCTGCTGCAGGTAATTGGGTGGACAAAACCACTGAGGTGGAATCTACATCATATGAAACAATGTTTACACAAAACCAGCACCATACCAAAAATACAATACAAAGAATGATTATTGATATAAATACAAATCCCTATCAATAAAACCATTACCACATAGACTCAAAATAATCACATCAACACATCAATTGAAATTGTTTGCAATGACGGAAGTTTGGCTTGCTCTCGGGCTGTTGTTGGAACTACAGGCAGCAAGAAGGATGTTAAGATGATGAATTTGTGCACCTTCTTTATCATTTTTGTATAAATTAATAATTAATAAAAAAGTTCAAACTATAGGTTTGATCTGCAATTTCGTATTGCCTGCCACCCATGCCACCACTGCAAACTCTGAGTATAGAAGCAGATCAAGAGACAGACCAACCCCCTCTCTCAAACTCAGACCGAAATCTGATCAAACAGTAAAACAAGGCAGTGCTGATCAAACATATATTAAGATTATGTTACTGTATTGCCTTCTTCTCACCTACAGTGTTTTTAAAAACATATGTTAGTATCAAACGTTTTCAGAAACTGTAATACAAGATTGTTTCTTTGCTTCAGACAGACATGTTCAACATTTACTGGTCTGGTGCAGCGCAGTGCATTCTGGTAGTTGTAGATTTTCTCTCTCTTGAGCAGAGTGATTTTTCCTCTCTTGTTCTGTAGCACCAATTTATTTTCTAAGGTATTTGTGTCATTCTACTGCATATACATCCTAGTTTTATCAAAAGGCTATCTTTCCTGTAGTGAAATAGGCTGCCTCTAATAACTGTAGAAGACACAGATCTGCAACTACCCAAACAAAGAAAGTTACCACGTTTAACTAAATAAAAATCCATTCATCCCACATAGATTTCAGTAAACCCTTTTGGTAATGGAACCCCTGGTCTCCATTACACTACCTGAACAATACTGATAAAACTTCTAAAAACATAACCTTAAGAAACCACCTTTATTCTATTCCATTATATTCTATTATTTAATTCGATTTTATTTTATTAGATTTTTTTTCGTTTTATTTTAATTTATTTATTTCATTTAATTTTTTGCAACGGCCGGTTCTTGCTCCTCCCCCTTTCGTTACGTCTGTCTTGCGTGGCCTCGCCCAAGACATGTAAAAGAGGAGAACGTACTTTTAGTTCGCTCAATTTAGACAGAACAAGAACTTACACTTAACTCTAACGTGTTGTTTGATGTAAAGGCATAACCAATCCGGCATCAGTATTTATTCATTTATATAATACACAAATGAAAATTAGCCTTACCGTTGTACATTTACCCTGGCCTTCACCCCCCTTGCTCAGACATGGTCCGCTCCTTCCCGGTTCGAAGCTGGAAGCGGGAGGAAGTAGTTGCTGCGTCGCCGGTTGTTGATGTTTCTTGGGGGAGAGGAATCACTATAGGTAGTTTTTTACAAACCAACAAGCACGAACATGATTAATGTGAATTGATTTAATTTATAAGCAGCGTTATATAATGTTAAGCCACTTTTGAATTTGTTTATTTTGGTGTTGTGACATTGTAGGTAAGCTTGTTAGCTAGCGTAGCGTTAGCAACTTCAAGATGGACGTTACTTTGCTTTGAAAGCAGTTTTGCGAGATAGTGCGACGTCTCATCATTATAACCTTAAAGATAATACGTCTGTTCTGCAGGATGGACACAACTACACGTTTAAAGTCTCTGTTGCTGGCTGTCCAGCAGTATAGAGACAGCAGGACGGCGCAGAATGCAGCCCACTTGCAGGAACAAGTGGAGGTGAGCTGATGAACATACACAAGGGGAACACGGTTAGTCTCAGAGTTAAAAGGGACACAAGGCTGTGGTGGAATATGCCAACAAGGCTGGAAAATCAGAGGTTAAACAATGTACATATTCTAGCAGTAAACTGGCATCAAGTGTGTTTAAAAGGGAGAGCATTTTAAACAAGCAAGTTGAGTATCCCTGATATAAACATTGCCATATAATTATACAGATGACCTATATAGGCTACTGTAAGAACCCCTAATTATTTCTCCTTAACCTCGGACTTCCTCCCTACCAAAAAATGTGCATGAAAATCATTTCGTAGCTTGGTTAAACAACAACAACAACAACTTTCTCTGTTATATCTGCATGTAGCACTTGAAGTAGGTCAGTATATCACATGAAGTAAGGGGTTCCTGTGATCCTAAAAAAGTCTTAAAAGGCATTGAATTAATTAATCTAAAAATAAGACATTAATTGGTACTAAAATGTCTTAAATCAATCTTTCAAAAGTCTTCAATATGCTAAGACATGGAAAGTAGGCTTTTATGAATCTTATTTTCTAATGTTGCAATGTTGTAAAGTCTCTAAATAATTGGGAACGTGTATTTTTTAAAAAATAACTTACCACATGCCTCGTGCAGTTATGTCATACAAATCAGGACAGCGAATCAACAACAATCATATTTTGTTTACGGCCAAGATGCCCAGAGCAGAGGATCCACTGTCTGCTAGCTAGCTGTAACTGTAATGTGGATGACAAGGGGAAGTGGCCATTAGCCCAAGATTTTGGGGCCTGGCCGAAACCGATTCAAGGCAACACATACAACACTTGATGTGTTTTATGCAAAAAGTTTTGCGAACTCACAGAAACTGAATCATTCTGCTGAGAATCAAGGCAGTGCCTGAACATTAACAAAACATAAAATCGCCAAGAAAACCTGCCAACAAACAGTTGTTGGCAGGTACTTTCCAGTTCTGTTCTACCCTCATCTTCGCAATGTGAGGAAAGTGTCATATTTTAAGTTAGAAAAACCTCCATAACCCTACACAATTGGTTTATGTTGGTTTGTTTCTTTTCCTTCAATGGAATTTGTGTGGCACCGAAAAGTCTTAAATCTATATTGTCTTGAACTGTGGGAACCCTGTGAAGTTGATGTACTTGCATGATTCTTGCAATTTTTTGGGTTGTACCCACATGGTTGAATACTCTTATTGTAAGTTGTGTTAGAGAAATACATCTGCTAAATGAATGTAATGAAGATAGCAACAACAAGTATGAGAATTGAATGAGGTGGTGAAAAGAAAGTGCTGACTTGCTTTCTTGAAAGTGCTTTCTCAAAGCACAGCACAGTGTGATTAGGGTCAAACCAAAACAAAAATCTGTTTAGCCTTGTGAGAACAAGTCAAAACTTTGGTAGGGATGTTGGAAGCTTTTCTGAAAGCTGGTTGAAATGTTGTGTGTGAATTTACACTGTGCAGCCTAAAGTTTACCTACATATGTATGTATGTTTGCAGGGGGTGTCAGGTCTTAAATGTGACCAGCTGCTGTCCTCAGGCCAGGTTCTGCCCCGTGAGTGTGTGAGTGGACTGGTTGAGCTGGCTGGAAACCCATACACCAGCCTGACCCTCACAAGCTCCATCATTTCCCTGCTGTCACAACTAGGTAGAGTGCACCTGTATACGGGGGGGGGGGCACGGCACTGTACACCCTGGACAGGTTGCCATACTGTCACAGGGCTGACACAGAGACAGACAACCATTCACACTCACACTGACACCTACCTCACAGTCACCTATAAACCTCGCTTGCATGACACATCTCACTGCTGCTGGATTGAGGTCACACATAATCATTAAATCAGATGGTTCATAAATAGCAATGGGTCTCCATTTTGCTTTGAGGGTATTGCTGTGATTCTTATAACGTCAGCAGCTCAGCAGGGACTAGAAGCATACAGTTGAGAGTACAAAGAGATTGAATACATACAGTGTCACTGAGTCTTAATTAAAGAGGAGTTGTGGGTCATAAGCTTAACTATTTGGTACATACAAATTACCTTGAAGTATGTAAGCAAAAGTTCTGTTTCCTTTATGTACAGTGACCTTTTAAAAAGATCACTGCTGTGCTTTAATAAGACAGTGTGAAGGTATAAAGCAGCACTGTCAAGCGTTAAATTCCTTGAGGCAAAAAAACTGAACTGAGAGTTCTTTCTGAAACAAAAACTTTTATTTTTCTCCCCACCTGTGTGTTCTCCCTTTCAGCCTGTGATGATGACAGTCGGGAGATTCTTCACAGCATCTACAACCTCAGCAGCACTCTGGCGTCTGTCATCCACTGCCACAGCACCACACCAGGAGAGCCCCTGGTGCTGCAGGTGAGTCCATCTCTGCAGTTGGTTTTAAAGGAAAATGTGACACCTTTTATGTAGATGTCCAGCTGAGTCCTCCTTCTCCCTGAGTCGTGTTTGACAGTGCCTACATGTACCAGGATGCCTTGTGCACGAGCTACTAGCTTAAAGCTGTTACTTTGTTGGCCAAAACATAGTGTAGCTGAGGTTGAACCTATTCTTCTGCAGGTAACAAAATGCACAGGCTTCATAGTCTGAACCAGTGTGAATCAACACCATTTATTATTTTTCACATTGTCCATGGCAGAACATTTCCACTTCACTCCTTCCATTTTCTCCCTTTCACAATAAAAGCAGTTTGTTTCACAATAAAAGCAGTTTGTTTCTCAGTTTGTCTCCGGGGTCCTAAAAAAGGTCTCCAGCACACCTCTTTCCAAGTGAGGAGTAAAACTGTCATGCATAGTAACGCACACACTGGCTCATCCAGCGTCGTCGACAGCATCCAAAAAAAACTGCCCACGCTGAAATTCATTGCAGCAGAATGATTAATTTTCGATTGGCATTTGAGGGCAATTTGAGCAAAGGCCCAACCAGTTGGTGTTTGCTCTCGGCAGCTCAGGTTCTGGAGAATCCTCGGCAGACATACCCTCTCTCACTCAATGCAGCTGCAACCTCGGCTTCTCTCTGCTGATTTCTTAAGCTATGTACTCTGGCTCTAATAACATAATATCCTCTGCACTCATATTTTGGGCTGCCATTTTAGCTGTTGGAAATGTAGCTAGTTTACAATACAAGTGAAGAGAACAAGGATGTTCTGGGTTTTTTTAGCGGCATCTAGCGCTTGCTCCTTGACTACTTGGAGGCCAAATCCAACCTGTAGTTCTTTCTGCCTCTAACTATGTCAGCGTTTCATGAAATGATGACACTAGATACAGGAAAGACAACAGATTTTGCAACTGCAAACTCAGCTTTCTCTGTCAAATATAGCACAAAGTCCACTGAGGAATCTATCGCTTTAATCAAAATCATTTACCATCAACACTGATTAGACATGGACATAAAAGGTGGCAACTTTTTTTCTTTAGTGTTTCCCATGTGGGTCATCAAGTGCTTGTGTTCTCTGCTGTGTGTACACTATATTTTCAATGTACATTTTAAGTACTATGCTTTGAGCAATATAGTTAATATTGTTTTACTATAAAAAGACAGTAGTTCTCCTATTTTACTAAAAGAACATACATCCAGATACAGTTGGTTATGGTTGAGGTACAATCTCAATAGTGCATAGTTTAGGGGCGGCAGTAGCTCAGTCCATAGGGACTTGGGTTGGGAACCGGAGGGTCGCCTGTTCAAGTCCCCATCCGGACCAAAAATATGGAGCGTGGACTGGTAGCTGGAGAGGTGCCAGTTCACCTCCTGGGTACTGCCGAGGTGCCCCTGAGCAAGGCACCGAACCCCCCAGCCGCTCGGAGCGCCTGTCATGGGCAGCCCACTCTGACATCTCTCCACTTAGTGCATGTATAGGTCCAGTTTGTGCATGTGTGTGTTCGGACCTGTGTGTAATTGACAACAGAGTGAAAAATTGAATTTCCCCTCTGGGATTAATAAAGTATATAAAATTAAAATAAAAATTAAAATTAAATTAAATTAAAACAGAAAAAAAGACATTTGCAGGGTAAATTCAGTAATAGATAATTAATTGTAATGCCACCTCGTGTGTATCATTTAGTGTTTGCAGGTGCTGCAGAAACTGACTTACAACGCTCGCGTCTTCCAGTCTACAAACTACATCCATGAGCTCATTGCTTTTCTTATGACTAACATGTAAGTATCCCACCTGTCAATATGATTTAATGAATAACGGATGTGTTTTTGACATTCACGTAACCATTTTACTTTGGGTCTTGTGCCACAGCCAGTCTCACAATGACAACATCATCATGCCATGCCTTGGCCTCATGGCCAACCTGTGTCGAGACAACCACTCAGTGCAGAGTTACATCAAGTCTCTGGTGAGTCTGACTGAATACAGTTATTAACACTGAATGACTATCTGTGTGTGAGGATGAGAATGAACATGTTCAATAGCATTTTATTTTGACAGCATCACAGAATGGTTAACAGATAATATCTGCCGAACACTAAAGTGTAGAGCTAAAACAATTAACTGATCAGTACATCATCAGAACATTAATTTGGAACTGTTTTAATAATCGAAATAAGAAATAAAACATTGCTGCATTTATTGCTTTTAGGTGATAGTCAATGAAATATTAATTTCTGGGTTTTTGACTGCTGATCAGACAAAATGAGACATTTGAAGACGTCACTCTGGACTCTGGAAAACTGATTTCCAGAAATGCAAACAACATTATAAGGCTTTTTAATTTATCTGTTTTTTTAAACCTCAGCTTTTGTTATATTGATTATCAATGCAGGCCTGCAGAAAATGAACTTAAAAATTCATATAAAAGCCCCATGTCAAAAACTTTGGTGTGATATTTGATTTGCCTTCAAGCAGGAGTAAAAGCCAACTTTTTCCAGCTTTGTACTGTTGCCAAAATCAAGTCCTTTCTCTCATTCAAAGATCTTTTAGAAAGTCATCCACACCTTTATATCCTCTTTGGCAACTGCAACTTCCTGTATACTGGGATGAGTCAGTGAGTCATCCCTTTCCCACCTGCAATTCATCCAGAATGCAGCCACCAGGCTCCTGACAGGCACGTGGAAGAGGGACTATATTACCCCGATTCTGGCCTCCCTCAATTGACTGCCAGTACGGTCCAGATTGATTGCGAAGTTCTCCTGTTTGTCTATAAGGCCCCTCAGGTTAGCTGACTATAGGTTTTTGTGTGTCCAGTGAACTTAAAGTAAGGCTCAGGACTGACCATGCCTTTGCTATTGCAGCCTATAGACTGTAAACAGCAACATCCCCCTCCCTATTAGATCTGTCCCTCCACTGACTCTTTTAGGTCCACGCTAAAAACATACTGTTACTCAGTAGCGTTTAAATCCTTTTGTCTTTTTTTTGTGGTTTTTAGCTACCGGCTGTGGTGGCGTACAGCAGTTTAATCAACGTGGGTTGTTTTCAAATGTGCTTAAGAAATAAATCTGACTTGTCTTGTTATAAGTATAGAGATTAAACAAAAACAAGCAACAACAGAAAAACAATGGAATAAGAAATAAAGGCTGAGTGAAGTTTCAGTTTCCAGTCATGTCAGAGGACAAAGAAATATTTCAAATGAGCGGGTGCAATTTTCTTTCAAGTTTCTATCTGTAATTTCCCTCTGTATTTGCATGTTGCAGAGCATGTGAGCGGAGTGCAGCAGAGAGAATTTCCGATCTCACTTACATTGCTGTTTGTTTTCTCCGGTCCCCCACTGAGTGCCATTGTGCTGGATATCGCTCCACGCTCACCTCAGATTTTCCCTGCGTCACTGAAATTGCTCACTGCTCGCTCCAAATAAACCCCAAAAAACTGTTGTGTTTTGATTTTGGCTTAAACACAAACCAGAAAAATAAACACAAGCTCAGCAGATTCGTCTGATTAAATTAATGGTCTGAGCACTACCAGAGCAATATGGAGAGGGATGGAGCAGTAGATAAGGGGACACTTCAACTTTTTTAAAGAACCTGCTCTGTGCTTTATCCAAAATCCATCCACTCTCACTCCCCGAGCCACTCACATGCTCTGGCATGTTTTTACTGTAACAGAAAAGGATATCCAGCCAGTATGTAGGTCCTGGATCTTTAGGGATCAGTACCAATATTGCAGTCCCGTTTACTTTTCAGTGCAACATTTTCTTACAAATCTAATATCTGCTGTCAGCCAAGTGACAGGAAAATGTGTATTTGGAGTACGTCAGCTTTTTTCTTGTGTGTTAATATGTGTGTTTGTATTCACGTAGGACAATGTGAAGCCATTCTACCGTACTCTGATCAACTTCCTGGCTCACAACAGTCTGACTGTGGTGATCTTCACGTTGTCCATCCTGGCCAGCCTCACTCTGAATGAGAGGGTTGGAGAGAAGGTAGGTGGGAGACACACACTGCAGGTGGGATCTGCTCAAATTTATATAATTATTGAACCACAGCGGTGCAGCTGGGCTCAAAATATTGAGTTAGTCTGTTTTTCTGTGGGCCCTCTGCAGTGTTGCTCAGTGGTTAGATTGAATAGGTTTAAACTGTGATTTATCAGCTTATAGTATGTTCAGCTCATATTCAAACAGTGCTCACTCTGGACTGACCTGTTTTGAAAGTGTCGTTTGAAGAAGAGCTTAGCTTAAGTTAATTCCAGCTTGTTACAGGCATTACTGTGCACTTGACACTGAATCATGAATCTGTTCCTAATTAAATCTGCCCCTTTTGATGCTGAGCTTTAAGTTTCTTTTACCAGTGACTTCTGATTTCTTCCATTGTTATGCAGCTGTTCTCAGAGAGATCTTTGTCTCTTTCAGTTGTCAGTCTGGTTGAACCATTGTGCAGTGTTTTGTTCTCCATGTACAAAACAAACCCTTCATACTAAATAACATCTATTTGTAAAGATGACTGTCTACAAAAAGCATCAAAGAACATCATCTCACATATCTGACTGGACACAGTCAAGCTTTTGTGGCAGGAGACTGCAAACTTTTGAATGGCAGTGTATGTTAAAATACTGCTGTTTTCTTTTTGTCAATTAGCAGTGTTGCCCTGTCACAATCTACAGTTATCTATGCTGTTCGGCCAGTAGGACTTTGCAACCCTTTAGATAAACCACTTATTAACATTGTATAGTTCTCACTCATGACAAAAAGTGATTGTGTTCATTTTAATTTGCAGTTCCTTTCTTTTTAGTATATGTTTGGTTTTTTGGTAAATGACGGGTTTTTTTGGTTCCATCTTTCTGTTTGTTCTCCTTTTCACATCAGTTTTTTATTTCCACTGTGAAAATAAATAAACAAACTTGTTGTAAACACATTTCTTAAGGAAGTATTTCACAGCTGGAAATATGAGCTTTTGATAAAATTAGTCTGTGTATGAAGTAGAAAGACACATCCTTCTGAAACTGGCACCATATGACCAGAGACCAAGGGCTGTGGCATTTGCATTTGCTCAAGAGGTAGAAAACCTACAATTGCTAAAATTTACTGTGCCACACCGGACCAATTAAGTTAACACTCATGCGGGCTGGTGATGTAATGTCACTTGGTTGTTTTGGCACAGAAAACAATATGGCAGTTAGCTAAAATATGTTTCTGAGGACATTTTAGGCAAGAAATAGGCAACACAGTAACAGGACTCGGTATCGGCAGGTTCTCAATACTAAATGAGTAAATGAATATTAAATGACGGGAGCAAAAAGCCTTATCTGGGACATCCCTTAACACAACAGTCTACAACATCGTCACATGCTTGGAGAAAATACTGTTGGAAGAATTTAATTAGATTCTTTATTACACCATGAATTAAGAGCAAATATCTGTCTATAGCACAACCAAGTTGGAGGAGAAGTGGGGCAGTAAATCATACTAGGGCTGACCTTCGAATCCATTTATGGACATTCGAAGCTTCGGAGCTCGTTTGGGGAGGGGGTTAAAAAAAAAAAAATTATGGCAAAAACGTAGTTTCTTCCAACACTACAATTAAGATAAAAATATTCACAAACGAAAAAACACTAATGGTCGGTGATAAGTAGTGTTTAACTTTTGATTGAACACTAAATTAAAACCCTCGGCGCACATTGCAGCACAATCAAACAGATGCGCAGCTCAGAGCATCAGAAGTGTCTCTGACACCAGACTCAGATCGGACCGGTGGAACTGGAAAATGCATATTTTACATCAATAAAATCTATTTTATCATTATTTTGAGTCACATTGTTGAAAGAATTTAGTCGTCTGTGTTCAAGCAGGATAATAGCAGGTCTCCATTGTGCGTCGGGCTTTCTATTTCCTTGTCAGAGATTTTTTCTTTTTTAATTACTACTTACGTTTTTCAAGTGATTTCCCAAATTTGTTGTTGAGTTGTGATATGCCAGTTGCTTTTGGCAAATCTGGCACTCTGCTTTCTGGGGGTTGTCAGGGCATATTTTAAAGTGCAACCACACATCTGCCAGCTCTGAGTGCGCTTGTTGTCAGAATCGGACTGGTGGGGGTGAGTGTTGCGTTTAAGTCCTCCTCCAAATAAATGAAAAAAAAAGCGCAGAAGCTTTGAATTTTTTTTTTTTTTCACAGTCGAATCCCGTGCCATCGAACGAAGCTTCGAAGCTTCAGATTTTTTGGGTCAGCCCTAAATCATACTCATGTGTTTTGGCTCCGTCCTGAAATTGTACAGTTTTGGGTAGTCTCTTAAACAGACGCCGATGACGTCAGCACGCTGGCTGACTCTGTCGTCTGTGGACATTCCCATAGGAAGGTTGTAATAGAACTAGCGCTGGCTCCCAGCGGCAGTGATGTGATTGCATCCAAATCCGTGTACTTCCGTACTTCCTCGACCAACGGCTGATTAGTCAAGAGTTCAAAAACTTCCAGCGCACACTAGAATATCAGGATTGACACAAAGTTTATTCAAAAATGTTTAACAACAAAAGGAGCGAACAACGAGTTTCGCTTGTTGCGTCATCAGATTCGCTCTTGATTGTCATCAGGTGTGTGCTTAAATAGTCAGGGCAAGTAACAACCAGACAATCAATCAATCAATGAGAAACAAATACAAAGTACATAACCTAGCTATAATATTAAAGGGAGAGTGCATACAATATAAATAGAAATAGATATCAAAACAGTGATACAAGAAAATACTTTACAATTGCACAGTTCATCATCCGACAAGATTCAACTCTAATTTTGAAGTAGAGTGTGAACCATATAAATAGTATAGATCAAAAAAGAGAGAAAAAAAAATTGTTTATACATACTTGTAATGATGAGATATAAAAATGCAAAATACATAATCTGGCTGTACCAACTCATATAAACAGGGGAGAGTGAGTACAGTATAAATAGTCAAATAGTCAAAATTTTTTTTTTTTTTTTAGAAATACATATCAAAAACAAGTGGGCCAATATAAGAGATATAAACAAAAGAGGAGATACTCCAGAAGTTACAAAGGTTATTCCACAATCTACAATATCTACTCTAGCATTCCTGTCTGTGCGCTGGAAGTTTTTGAACTCTTGACTGTGATTTATCCTGCACCAGCTGGCACCTAGAAGAAGCACTGCGCCGCTGTGCACAGGGATTTACTATTTTTTTGTACAACGGCTGATTAGCTTTGCCTTACACCCGCCTACATCCGAATTGCTGTTCCCCGAATTGTTGTCCGTAGTACAACAGAAAAGGAAGTGTTCAGTGCATCGCAAGAAGAGATTAAAATGGATGTGATTTCATTTGATTCCTGCTATATTGCAGAGCTGCAACATCTCTGTTACATGTAACACACGTGCCACACCTATGGCAACGCCGTCACGTGGTCTGGATGTCCCCACCCATTTCTATTACAGAACGAAAGACAAATGTCCCCAGACTCCCATTCCGAAGTAAGGGAGGCTGGTCACGCGAGACTAAGTTTTGGGTAAATGTATGTACAGTTATTATCAAAATTCTAGGCTATGGCATATCTAGATCATGCATGGTATTGTATTTTGGTTATATGACACTAGGACTTGGGTTAAGAGAGGGCAGGTATCTACTGAAAATCGTGTTGGCAGCTTCTAAAAAGGCCACCACAAAGAAATGGTACAAAGCAGAACCACCAACGCAAGATAAATGGCTAAAAATTTTGAAATAGATATATGATATGGAACTGTTGACTGATCAGATAAGAGCTCAAGAGGAGAGATGTCAAGAGAAATGGGAGAGATGGGCAACGTTTGCATGTCAAACAACATAAGAGACTAAACCACTGAATATGTCACAGGGATGAGCAAGTTTTGTGAGACAGGGCAATCTGGATCTTTTTGTTAATTTTTTGTTTTGTTTTATACTCTTTTTTCTTCTCTACCCTTTAATAAGGTTTTAGTAAAAACAATCAAATTAAAGTGTTAAAAAAAGAAAATGCAGAGGTACAATCTGTAGTTTGAGCAACAGCCCTAGAGTCAGCTCAGATCCGCTGGATTATACAAAACTACAAGGTATCCCCTGATGCCAGTCATATTCATCATCTTTGTTCGTGTCTATATGTTTTTTTTCCATCAGCTCTTTGATGCAAAGAACATCCACCAGACTTTTCAGCTTGTGTTCAACATCATTGTGAACGGCGACGGCACTGTGACAAGAAAATACTCTGTCGACCTTTTGGTTGATTTGTTGAAAAACCCCAAGATAGCAGATTACCTTACCAGGTACACACACACACACACACACACACACGTACGTTTCTAACATAGAGCGCTTAATCTCAGTGTTTTCTTTAAGGCTCTGTTGACCTGACTGTGAATTAAAACCTTCTTTTTTTCCTTTCAAGGTATGAGCACTTCTCAGCATGTGTGTCTCAACTTCTAGGACTGCTGCAATCAAAAGACCCCGACTCTGCAGCAAAGGTGCACACCCCATTATACAACTTTCCTACAGCACAAATAGACACGAAAACCATTGCTGCTGTCGAAAATGTGTCAGTTGTGTTTTATGGTTAGAATGTTATGCTGTGAATTAAATCATGTTTATTTGAGCAGTAACTACTGACCTTTTGTGGTAAAAGAGAGTTAGTAAAAGTGTTTTTTTTCTGCTTTCATTAGATAGAGTACATTAGAGCAGTGAGAGGAAATAAGCAGTGAAGGGGGTGACAAAGGTCTACGGCCAGATAGTTGATGTTAGTTGCTATTTCACACTCAGTCTTTAAGCTGTAGCCCTCCAGGATGCCTTTTTGTAATATACTATCTTCATTAGATTTCAAAAAACATAAACAATAGATAACTATATCAATATATGCACATACAAGGCAAATAAATAAAAATACATGAAATAAAAATACATAAAAAATAAATATGTGATAGTACAAAAAAAAGGTTTCTCCTGTAGCTTGTAATCAACAATGTCCAACTTCATCCTACCACATGCTGATAGTTTTAGGTTGTAGCACACAGCTGTTTAACTCTACTCAAAAACTAAAAAAAAACCCAACTAAATAATGTATAGCATAGATGTCCTAAAACTGGTAGAAGATTTTGTTACAAGTAAAAGTCCTGCATTCATACCCTTACGTAAGTAAAAGTACAGAAGCATCAAAATACACTTAAAGTACCAAAAGTAATAATTCATGATAATATGTTACATTAGTGTATTATGATTATTGATGCATTAATATGTTCATAATTTAAGTGGTGCAGCTGGTAAAGGTCGAGCTCATTTTAATTTATTAACATACTGAGGGGTAGTTTAATCTACATTCATGCATCATGACTTATTTTGATATAAATTTTTTATAAATAATCTGAGTCTGCAAAGTAACTAAAGCCGGGCAGATTTATCCCCAACTCACCCTCCTGATAATCGGAGGGGATACCTGGGACCTGTATCACAAAGCGAGATCAACCTTTCCTGGGTTACCCAGACCTATCCTGGGTTGACTAACCCTGACAATGGCAATCAGGATAATCGGTATCACGACGCTGGATATCAACTCGGTAACTCAACCCAGAGTTGCTTTATCAAGAGCAATGAACGCGCACGCAGAGGACCAATCACAATCATGAGAGAAGCGCAGCGTCACTGAGCGTCCTCACAGAGCGCCGTATGTGAGGGGAAAAAAGTATTTCTCGTGAGGATCAGAGATTAATTCTACTAAAATATGAGGAGGAGAAGAGCAACATTACAGAAA